GATTGAGGCTACGTTATCCATCGAACAAAGGAAAACGCCAGCACGCCGGCGGTAAACAATTCAACTCAATAGTTTTACCACAAGGCTGATGACAGATTTGCACACAACCGCATTGATTTGCATCAATATAGCAATCAACACCTGCAAACAGCGCATCGCTTCCAAATAGTACCGGAAGAGAGGTTCTTTTCTCGATAAATGACGCAAGCTACTGTCTACGGATTGGCCAGAGATATTTCTTCGGGGATATATAAGGGAAAACGCCACACTAGAGCACATATAAGCGCAGTATCAAGTACAGAGACACAAACCGAACAACGAGCTGAGGTAAGTGCTGCTTTTACTTCTCTTCTGAGCATTAGACGCGTTATTATATGCATCATGAAAAACATTTTCATCGTGGTTTTCTTTGCGCATGATTCTTCGCAGAATTACATATCGCGCTTATTATGTCATCAATCTGAATTCTAACGAGATCGGCTCGGCATATAGTAAGCTAATCTATAAATATTCTATGCACTAATCTCGGTCATGTGCGAAGGTCATACGATGACTAACGTGTGTATCTCACCTTCTTCAATATGCTATATATGACACGCCGAGTATCATACACCTCCACCACGCGTGCAGTGCGGCGTAAAAGTCTCTAAACCCCCACTGATCACTGAGGTAGTCAGTTTCGTACGTACTCAGAACAAATTTTTCTCGTGTGAATGACCACGTATAGCTATACTCAGTTCGAAACGCGTATAGCTATTCTGACCAAAAAGGTGCGTTTCGTACGTACTTCGTATAGCTATACGCATTTCGTACGCGTATAGCGGACGTGTGAACATCCGGCGGTAGCTATACGCGTATAACTGGGCGGAGCAACATGCGCAAATTATGAAATATAAGCTCACTGTGCGACTTGTCGAGCTTATACGGCGATACATCTGACCAATGCATGTGCACCGTGTGCGGGGAATTTTACGTTTGTGCGAGGCGCACCCACGTACATACGTCACATCACAAACAGGTCAAGCTACCGCATCCGCTTACTTATAAGCCAACTTCACACAAGTTTTATAACACCTGCCAGAGCGGACGCACGCGGCAACGTCGAGCGTCTGCGTATTCAGTCACCGATTTCTATTCATTCAGCCACTCATTGCTATACTCCAGATACCTCAAGGAGATACGTAAAAACAAAGCTAAAGTTGAGCAAGTATATCTAAGCACTATCAGAAGCCATGTCAGTGAGAGTAGCAACAGAGTTTGAGACGAGCGCACCGCTCAAGCGTCACCGATCGTCATCACCGGACGCCTGCCAACAATCGCCGTGGAAACGCAGCCTCGTGGAAGAACGCGAACAGGTAACGAACGATACGGTGATCGGTGAGCCGATGACGAAACCTATGTTTTTTCCGGTTCGCTCGGTTATTTCGGTAAGCTTATGTCAACACGCGCCGCGGTGACTGCCCACGACTTCACAACCTGAGAACAACATGGTCATCGCATAGAATCGACACCTGTCTATTATGGCCACTTTCGGTATTTCGCTTATGTGTGTCTTATATAGTGTGCGTGAGTGATTACATGGGTTGTTATTACGATTGTATACGTGTGTACATGACCATGTTATGAGTGTGACTCGGAAAGAGGTTTACTGCACACTGGACACTATCATGTTCAATATTATCAGATTCCCTATTATCTACTTCTGATATTATGTTCAGGGCACGGAATTCAGATTTTTGGCACCGGCCCACACCATAATTTACCAGCCCTCACGGTTAAATTTGTTTGTAAAATCAATGTCATGTTTCACGCTTGCATTCGCAATTTCAAATTTGTAAAATGTTGATAAGTTATGGCGTTATATCATTCAGGTAATACAGTAAATTAATGTAGGCTATTTGCTATAAATAATGTAGGCTATAAATAAAAATGTAGGTATTCACTAACACGGCTGAAACCACCGGCTCGGAGGGCTGGTGTTTTGCCAGTGTTACCGACCCTCCAAATAATTTGCCGGCATATGCCGGTGGGCCGGTGCTAATTTCGCGTCCTGATGGCGACTATCAACCAGTCCAGTACAGCAGCAATAACAATCTGCTTTTAACAAGAACAATATAGGACATAGTCTCCTTTCTAATGTCAATAATACTCAGGATGGACTTTTACCTCAAGTACGCACACTGCTACTGATCATGGATAAACTTTCGTGAGAAAGGTCCACACTCGATTATTAATACAGGGAAAATTGTCTTTTTTCTAGGAAACGGAACATGGGTATACATATACTATACAAGTCGCTATGACTATATACGAACCCACGCCAACCAATGAGACTAAGGTGAGCCTGTGACGTTGATATCAAAGCGTGATCAGATGGCAGAACATTTCTTTTAACCTTATTTCGGGT